AGCTTAAAATAACTCATTTGATGTTTAGCTTGGATTTTAATTCATACGAATCCTGTCAAACGTTGCTTTAAAATTGTGCCGAAACCTGGATGAATATACAGAATGTATTTTATCATATTATAATTTCTTCCAAAGAAGATGTAAAACAAAATATTCACAAAAGTTTTTAAAAAAGCTGTACGTTGGGTGCTATTTCCTCAGTGTGTAAGTTCAAAATATAGTCCAAATATGCTATATAGACCCAATTTCTTCATCCTTTACTAAAATCTGGAGATATTACCCAATCTAAATGAAACTCAAATTCCACTGATTTGCCTATTCCTAGTGTAGAGTTAGAGAACAGGCGGGAAAAAGACCCATTATAGAAATGCAATATTGGTAAGTTTCCATAGATTTTAGCACAACAGAATTTTTGCAATTTGCAAAAAACACTAGATGCATGACCTCTGTAAAGTTAAGCATTGTTCGATAAGAAACTCAACTGGAGTATACACACTCAAAATAGCTACAATTCTGGCCAGCAGCAGTAACCTTTATCACAGAGAAGACTGCTAAATGCTCCTTTTCAGAAAATAAAGATAGTGAGGCACACTTTGTAAAATGACAAGTCTCATATCGCCTTTCGATTTTTGAATAGTTTCATGATTAAATGTTTTTTTTAAAAAAGAGAAATGCACACTGTAGCAGACTGCGATACATTGCCCGCAAAATGCTAAGACAATGTTTGTGACTACAGTAAACTCCAGATAACTCGTCACTCTGAGGGAAGAGAGCTCATCAGCAAGTTATCCAGAGTGGCAAGTTACGGATAGGTCTACAAAGTGGCTCTGTGACTGGTGTAGGCACCCGGTGGAGGTTGGGTGAGAATGCTCAAATACATCGCAGAGGCCTCTGGCATATTGGAGGGCCATGAGCTGTCACAGGATAGGGCAGTAGGCCACAGAGCAGCCCTCCAATAGACTAGGGGCCACTGCGATGCATCTGAGCACGCATGCAAAACCTCCGCCGAGTGCAGTCACAGGAGGCCACTGTCATATAAGACACCATCTGATAGGACAAGTTACCTGATCAATTTTACATTGTTTAAGTACTTCAAGAATTTCGAGAATGCGACTAGTTACATTAGATGTACAATGACAAGTAAAGCAGAGTCCTTTATTAACATTTTGCCGGGATAGACTGCATAATAATCCTTGCATTTGATATAGCGCTTTTCACATCAGGAGGACGTCCCAAAGCGCTTCACAGAACACACTGTAAAGTGAATTGACTGTATATTTGTGGGCGAACACGGCAGCCAATTGCGCACAGCAATGTCACACAAACAGTCGTTGATTGAAAATGACCAATTTCTTATTGTTTTTGGTTTTGGAGGGATTATTATTATTATTATGCATGGCAACTTAAGTGGTAGTGACAAGTTAAGTCAGTGTCGAGTTATCAGCAGTTTACTTATATATTTAAGGTTATTAACATTTAGGTGCAATTTCATGTCAAGTTTGTACCACAGCAACTCTACAAATTGCACATAGACATACAAAAACATTTTTCTTACTGCCTAACAAACTTTAATAATATTACAAATGCACATTTCTTGCAATATTGTGAAGATGAATCAATTGGAATGGGAAAATTGCCCAATAATACAATGCAGTAAAAAGAATTATCTGCACCTTGTTCCCCTCAAACATCCTCAATTCAAGTCCTCTGAATTTCTCTCTCCTCACTTGCCTGACGTCAATGTATCCATCAATCTAGCTCCTCATTCACGACCTCACCTCCAAATTCATCTCGTCATTAACAATCCCAAATTGTCTCCCATTTCTGCCAGGCCACTTGATACTCTGTCCCAAGTCTGTGCATCAGACCATACATGATCTTAAAACTAGATCTAGGCCATTTAGGAGTGAAATCAGGAAGCACTTTTTCAAACAAAGGGTATTGGAAATCTGGAACTCTCTCCCCCAAAAGGCTATGGATGCTGGAATCAATTCAAATTTTCAAGACCGAGGTCGATAGATTTTTGTTCGGTAAGAGTATCAAGCGATATGGAGCAAAGGCGGATAAATGGAGTTGAGGTACAGATCAGCCATGATCTAATCAAATGGCAAAACAGGCTCAAAGGCCCAGTCCTGTTCCTATGTTCCAGAATCGAATATCGCTTAACGATCCATAAATGGTGAGTTTTGATGTGGTCCAGATCTTGCCACCCACCATCTCTCTGTCTGCTCAGCCAAGTCCTCATTTCTCATCTCGACCACTGACTACCTCCTCCCAACCTTCCCACGCTCCTGCCCTCCTCATCTCTGGCACCAAATATACGGTCGCGAACTTTCTGGTGTCCAAAGTTAATAACATCTATTCAGCTGCCTCTGCTTGCTCCACCTCCAGTCCTCCCATTCCGTCGCACCTTCAAACACATTTCCCCCTTCGCCATCCCTCATACAAAATCTACCACATCCCTCCTTGACCCCTTTCCCAAGATGTCTTGATGGCCCAGCTTCTTATACTCTTTCTCTCCCATCATTCCCTACAAGTTGGTTTCCCACAGTACTGAGACAACCCTCATCCCAGTCACAAATCACATCCGCTACGTCTGACCAGTAACGATTTCCACCACTTTGCACCCAGAGCACGTAGTGCTTGAGGTGTGATGGGTTGTTGGAGGAGATGCTAAACCATGGGCCCTGTTCAGATGGACATAAATAATCCCAAGGCACTACCAACTACAAGGATGATAACTCTCCTGAAATCCTCGCCCCAAATTTCCATATTGCCTCTGGGAAGCGCTTTGACATGTGAAAGAAGCTAAATGAGGGCAAGTGGTTGTTTGTCCTGACCGACAGCCTCCAGATAAACTCAACATCCGTCAAATGACCAATTTTATTTGGGGGGAATTAGTCTTCGAAAAGGAGGGGGGGGAAGCGTACTGTGCACAAAATGAATTGTGTCCTGGCTTCCTTACAAATTACACTCACTACAGATACTGCGACTTTATGAGAAACGCAAAGATTATTTATTTGCAGTGAGAGGACGACCTCGGGAGCCACTTACCACCAGTGGAGGCCACACACACACTCACACACACAGACACACAGAGACAGACACACACAGAGGCAGAGAGAGACACACACACACAGACACGGAGAGACAGACACACACAGAGACACACACACACACAGACACACACAGAGACACACACACACACAGACACAGAGACACACACACAGAGACACACACACACACAGACACACATAGAGACACACACACACACAGACACAGAGAGACAGACACACACAGAGACACACACACACACAGACACAGAGAGACAGACACACACAGAGACACACACACACACACACACACAGACACACACAGAGACACACACACACACAGACACAGAGAGACAGACACACACAGAGACACACACACACACAGACACACACAGAGACACACACACACACAGACACAGAGAGACAGACACACACAGAGACACACACACACACAGACACAGAGAGACAGACACACACAGAGACACACACACACACAGACACAGAGAGACAGACACACACAGAGACACACACACACACAGACACAGAGAGACAGACACACACACACACACACACACAGACACAGAGAGACAGACACACACAGAGACACACACACACACAGACACAGAGACACAGACACACACAGAGACACACACACACAGAGACACACACACACAGACAGAGAGACAGACACACACAGAGGCAGAGACACACAGAGACAGACACACACAGAGACACACACACACACACACACAGACACACACAGAGACACACACACACACAGACACAGAGAGACAGACACACACAGAGACACACACACACACAGACACAGAGAGACAGACACACACAGAGACACACACACACACAGACACAGAGAGACAGACACACACAGAGACACACACACACAGAGACACACACACACAGACAGAGAGACAGACACACACAGAGGCAGAGACACACAGAGACAGACACACACAGAGACACACACACACACACACACACAGACAGACACAGACACACACACAGAGGAGAAGAGTGAAGGCCCCAAAAACCAAACCGGGGAGAGGCCAAAATCTCAGACCGTTAACTGCCACTTATTTAAGAGGAAATAAAAACGGCGCCGTGTGGAGTGGTCGGCGGCCCCGAGCCGCACGCGACAGGTCACAGAGCCTCCGCTGAAGAGCCAAATAAAACAAATAAAAAAGGTCCGCAGTGAAAATGAAATGGGAGCAGTGACTGAGCGAGTGAGTGAGTGAGTACCTGGTGCCGACCCTCTCCTCTCCCCACAGACAGCCCGAGGCGCGGTCACTAACAGCTCCTCTGGGTCCTGACGCTGTCGGTGTCGCGGTCACAGCTGCGGCCGCGCACACGCGCGAGCGGTTCCCTCTCTTATTCTCCCACCAACCGACGGCTCATTTCAAATAGTGAAGCGCCGCCAACGACAAGTTCAGCGGCGTTCTGGACAAGAGGGCACTTCCTCATCCGCCGGTCCCCGTCCCCTCCCCCCCCACCACACACACACACACACACACACGTGATTTGAGACGTCACCTCGGAGGACCGGAGTCTCCACAGCGCGCCCCCTAACGGCCGCGAAGAGCTGGTGACCCAACGTTGCCGGATTGGGCGGCTTTCACGCCCACTTTGGGCGCTTTCTTTTCTGACCCGGCGGGTGGGGGTCAAAAACACAATAAAACCGTACCCTCTAAAACGTCGTCTTCTCGCTCCTCCCCCAATGCCTTTTCTTACGACCGTTTCAACAAAAAGAAAAGAGCACAAACCCCCAAAACTCCACAGCCACTTCGCGTAGAGGCATCGGGACCCCATCATATTGGGGCTATTTTTGGGGCGAGTCACCGCTGGACTTTGGGCTACAAACGCGTGTTTGATTTCCGGCGGCCCCCGGATGGCCGGAGCGGCGGATGGTGTGACTCACAGCGGCGGCGGCGGCGGTGGGAGGAGGAGGAGGAGAGAACTGGGACTCGCCGCCGCCCCTCCTATTTAAAACGCATGGCGACAGCTCGCGGCTTCAAGACGGTTAGGAAAGGGAAGTGGGAATCCATTCCCGGCGCTGGTGGGAGGGGGGACGGGACAGCGAGGAGAGAGAGAGAGAGAGAGAGAGAGCGAGAGAGAGAGAGCCGAGCGGCTATGGCTTTGGTGAGTTTTAAATTTTTTTTCTCTCTCCCTCTCTGAGTTCAGTTGGGAGGCGGTGTCACTCGTCTGTAGGTCAACCGTGTGGCGCCCTGACCTCCAGACAGCAGCAGCACTGCCCCTGTGATAGAGCGCCTTATCATGTCTTCCAAGACGTCTCCAAGCGCTTCGCGGACGACAGCGGACAGTGGGGGTTTTTTTTCTGTGTGGGTGCGCCCCTCGCGCACCGGCGGTGTCCCCCACAAACCGTCCTGGGTTCGGCGACGGCACCTTTTAACGGCGACTTGCACTTGTATAGCGCCCTCCACGCCGAGCGGCGTCCCCGAGCCATTAATTGCCCCCGGAAAAGCCATCCGCCGGTCAACTGGCGCGGCAGGTTCGCACCGAGCCGCTGGGTCAACGGGCGCGTGGGGTAAGGAAACCTGCCCGAGGTTTCGCCCGTGCCCTGGAATCGGACCCGGGAGGTGAGCGCCTGCAACCAGTACGCTACAAGACTCCACAAAGGAGCTGCTCTTTAAAAGGAGGAGAGGAACAGATCGTTCGTTCCGCAGAGGACTGTACTTTCTCCTCGTTCACCTTCTCAGTGCCCTTCTCCAGGTGTCCTGGCCAACTATTTATCTATTCTCAACCCCCCTTCCCCCCCCACCCAAATAAAATTGGTTAATCACTCCATCCTTGGGCTGCTTGTGGGACATTGCTGCGCGCAAACTGGTTGCTGCGTTTCGTCCACAAAATACACCATCCCTCCTCTTTACAGTATATCCCGTGAAGTACTTTCACTGAGACTTTTAGACAACGTGATAAGGCGCTATGTCAAATGCAAGGATGATTGTGGACATTATTAACTCTGTATACTATATCGCCCTGGCCTCAGTTGGTTAGAACTCTCTCCTCTGAGTCAAGTCGGAAAGTTGTGCGTTCAAACCCTACTTTTGGACTTTGAACTCAACAGTATCGAAGTCGGCTGACACTCCAGGGGAGTGCTGGGGGGAGTTTTGCACTGTCAGACGTGCTGCCTTCAGATGAGACATTAAACCGAGGCCCCATCTGCTCGTCACCACTTCTCAAATGTCCTCTTTGCCGATCTCCCAGCTCCACACCATGCACAGGATCCAGCTGATCCAAAACCCTGCCTCCCGAATACTCACCCGTACTAAACCCCCATCACACCGGTTCTAGCCAGGCTCCACTGGCTCCCTATCACTGAATGGAGTGATTTCAAGATCCTCACACCTGTTTTTCAAATCCCTTCATTCCTGGCACCTCCCTACGCCTTCAACCTGCTTAACCCACAACCCGCTGACTCTGCTCTACTGGCTCTGGCCTTCTGCATGTCCCTCATGTCCACCATTGATTGCCGCACCTTCAGCCACTGTGCCCCGAAACTCTGGAACACTCTTCACCTTGCCCTCCGCCAGCCCCTTCCTTCCCCAACTTCAGGTCGCACCTGAAGACCTTCCTATTTGACTATGACTATGGTCACCTCCTGACTCGTTGTCAGACTCCACCACTGTGAAGTGTTCTGTAACACTGGGCGCTATATAAATGCAAGTTGTTGTCGTTGATAGCAATTTCCTGTAAAGCACTTTTAAGCCTTTGACATTCTAAGTGCTATATAAAATATAAGGATTAATACGTTACAATATTATGCAGCATTGTGATAATTAGACTTAAATTGAGGGAATTGCTGAAGAAGAAAGTGAGGTGACTCACTAAATACAAGCACATAGAACAGATCAAGCAGGTGAATACAGTGAATAGCAGACAGCATGACCTTCACATATTCCTCTGAAATGCTATATCAAATGCAAGTATTATTATTGTTTTGGTCAGTTGGTTGAGTTGATACACAAGAAAACCTTTGTTTTCCAAACCAAACTACTCAGAGTTCCAAATCTGCGTGGAAATTTATTTTGTAAGTCTTTTTTATATGAATTTATGAAAGGTCTGGGAACCCCCATCTGCTTTAAGGTACCTTCCAATACATCAACTTTCCCAACCAGTAATCTAATTAGATTTTGAATAGCTCCAATGTTTTGAGCTCTATTTGACCACTGTCGTCACTCAAAAAACCCATCCTGAACCCCTCCAACCTTACAAATTACCGTCCCATTTCCAACCCGCCCTTCCTTGCCAAACCTCTGGAATGCGTTGTTGCTAAGCAGGTTTGCTCACACCTCTCCCTTAACTCCCTCCTTGAGTCCCTCCAGTCTGGTTTCTGCTCTGCCCATAGCTCACAGTCAAGGTCACAAACGACATCTCTCTCTGTGACCAGGGTTCCCTCTGCCTCCTCAACCTCCTGGATCTCTCTGCCGCGTTCAACACAGTTGAAGACACCATCCGCCTCCACCGCCTCTCCTCCCTCATCCACCTTAGTGGCACTGCACTAGCCTGTCTAACAAACCGCCTTCACTTTGTATCTTCAAACAGTTTCTCCTCCCGCCCCCACCCAATCACCTGAGATGTACACAAGGCTCCATCCTTGGCCCCCTCTTCCTCATCTATATGCTCCCTCTCAGCGATGTCATCCGTAGGTACGGGGTAAACTTCCACATGAGTGCAGGTGACGCACAAATTTACTTCTCTTCCAACTGCAAATCCAGGTCCGCCAATGTTCTCTCGTCTTGTCTGGCAAAGATTAAGGCCTGGATGAGGGCAAATTTCTTGCAACTAAATGTCGACAAGATGTAAGCAATACTCCTTGGCTCCCGTCAACATCTTCTATTCTGCGAATATGACTTCTTCAACCTCCCCAGCTTAGCTCTCAGACTCACCAAACCAATGCGTAACTTAGACATCGGGTTCAACCAACAGCTGTCCTTCCTTCCCCACATCCAGTCCCTGACCAGGACCCCTTTCCTCCATCTCCACCATAGTGCCCGCCTCCGACAGTACCTTATCCCAGACACAGCCGAACACTCGTCCATGCGTTTGTTACCTCCCGACTCGACTTTTCAAATGCCCTCCTCTCCAGTTTCCCCAGCTCCACCATCCACAAGATCCAACTGATCCCAAAACTCCACCGCCCGCATACTCGCCCATACTCGCCCATAGGACGTGGAGTCCTGTAGCTCAGTGGTTAGAGCACTCGCTTTGCAAGCGAGAGACCTGAGTTCAATTCCAGGCAGAGGGCGAAACCTTGGGCAAGTTTCCTTACTCCACACAGAGCCTAATAATAATCCCTCCAAAAAAAACAATAATAAATTGGTCATTTTCAATCCACGACTGTTTGTGGGACATTGCTGTGCGCTATTGGCTGCCGCGTTTGCCCACAAATATACAGTCAATTCACTTTACAGTGTGTTCTGTGAAGCGCTTTGGGACGTCCTCCTGACGTGAAAAGCGCTATATCAAATGCAAGGATTATTATTATTATTATTATTACTAAACTCCATACTCCTGTCACACTATTTCTAGCCATACTACACTGGCTCCCTATTGCCGAACAGATCGATTTCAAGATCCTCCCACTCATTTTCAAATCCCTTTATGCCCTGGCACTTCCCTACCTCTCCAACCTGCTTACTCCATAACCCACTGCCTCCACTCGACTGGCTCCGGCCTCCTGCACATCCCTCATGCCCTCCGTTTCATCATCGATGGCTGGGCTTTCGGGCACTACGTCCCGAAACTCTGGAACACTCTTCCTCTATCCTTCCGCCTTGCCCCTTACTTCCCCATCTTCAGATCGTGCCTGAAGATCTTGCTTTTTTGACTGTGCCTAGGGTCATTTCCCCCAGCTCGGAGTCGTGCTCCGTCCCTGCTAAGGGCTCTGGGATGCTACCCTGTGTAAGGGGCACTATATAAATGCAAGTTGTTATTGTTGACTATAACTTGCTCAAAATCGTTATCCCTCTGAGTAAAGAAGTATTTTCCTGATTCTAAATGTGTTTAATATACATTTGTATTTTCTAGTCTTACTTTGAAATACTGTATAAACCCGAGTTTTTGTTCTTCTTTATTACCATTAATGGTCTATATCTTAAGCTACTTTTTTTTCTAGCCTACAAAGCTTAAGTCTTTCCAGCTTGTAAAGCTTCAGTAAATCTGATCATCTTTAAAGTTCATGCCCTTTATATTTAAAACAACCACATTGCAATTGTTTTTTGTACCTGTCTATTTTGTGGCATGATGTCCAACATTGTGAATACAATTCTAATGTTGCATTTATACTCTTAAAGCACCAGGTGAGTTATGAGAGAGGGGAACTGAGTTTGTTCCACGGTGACATTCTTGGCAATAGCATATTAGAATTGAGTCAATCATCTGCACACAAGCTGCATGATTTTCGCTGATTAAACTGCAGTAATTCCCAACAACAACCTGCACCTAAACTCTTTGGGATTTGGTAATCAGGGCGGTTCCCTCTGGGGAGAGTGTCTGTCCATACCAGACAAATGGGGAATCCTGAGTATTTGATTTGGAGGCTCTTAAACATGACAGTGGTTTTCCACCTGTGTCAAGACACCTGGCTGACTTTAAAAACATAATTGTAGGTAGTTTTGTTTCTGTACAGGTACTGAATAATCCATGAAGTTGTTGTGTACTGTATAGCACTTCATGGCTTAACAGCATCACAGTAACCGCATATGCAAGGACACAAAAGCTGTCAACAGCAGCTGTTCATCTGCAAAGCTGGGGCCACACAAAGGCTGTCCTCATCTGTCAGGACACCAAATTGCTCTTTGTACTGTAGGCATCATAGCCTAAATCCTGTATAAATACAGTATACTGTGACATACTGGTGTATTTTTTTGTTGTTTTTGTATTCTGCTATTCTGGCAGTAAATAATATTATAAAAACACCTTTTATACTTTGATCTTAAAGTTAATTAAATCAGAATAAAGCATTTTTATAGCAATTATACATTCTGTTTCCATGTAACTATGAAAGTTCAATTAAATTGGTTACTCTTGAGCACAAGAGATCGTGCAATCCTCACCTTTGATGCAGCTCCTTTCATATCGGGGGACGTCCAAAAGGGCTTCACAGGATGTACTGTGCA